TTCTGTATATATACATATTGATTGTATATGTTACTAATGATTAAGACTTTTTTTTTTAAAGTAAGACTTACATATATGTGAGAAAACTTACAAAACACCGCACAAACTCCAACACACAGGAGGTGCATTTATATGCAGCCTGTCTACCTCATCCTACCAAGTCTCCCTTTAACAGTATTTACTAACACGTTCTGTACTTTTACATGAAAAAAAAAAATAGGTGAAAAAATTGATGAAAAAATTGTAAGACAAAAAATTTTAACTTCCACTGCCAAAAGCCTTTTTAGAAGGGTTTATGGGTCATTGCCAGAAAGAAAAAGACCATGCAGTCTAAATCACCAGCAGCAGCAGCACTATGTGGAGAAGGCGACATGTTTGCCCTCTTGGAGTTGATGGGCCTTTTTATATATCAAGTAGGGGGAAGAAAGATGCAAGTTATTTTGAAAATAATTACATTAACTATAGATAAGGAGGGCAGAATAAGGCGAAGCAGAAACAATTCTAGGTTAGATGCATAGTCATAAGGAAGAAGTGTTTGTTCCTTTGGGTTGGTTTTGGGCAACATTCTGGAAAGTTTATGTGTAAGAAGCAGAGGCTCCTTGGGGTCAGTGAAGCCTGGCTATTTTCTTTAGATAATCTAGGACATAGCCACCTGGAAGTTAATTCAGTTTCAAAATACACTCAGAAATGCAAGCAGTCTTTTTGTTGTTTTGCCGTCCAGTTGTTGACTGACTAACCCCATCTGGTCTCTTCCTTCCATCCTCCCTCAGATGCAATTGAATTTGAGACATCTCAGAATTTTCTCCTTGTCATGATTTTGGTTACCTTCTTTAAGAGTGAATCCACTGCTTCCTCACCCTTACTGCCTTGCCTCCTTTTATACATTAACCACTGTATATGAATATTCAGGAAGGTTTAGAATAGGTTGGAAGATCACCACATTTCATCTATAAACAAGTCCTTCTATCTCTGCCTCCAAAGTCCCTCCAAACACTGAGCTTCTCTCTCCCTCTGCCTCAGCAAGAACCTGCTGGAGCTCAGAGCAAGTCCTGCAATGGCCTCCTATGAACCAGGACTTCAAATCACTCTTTCTGCTCTGAGCATTTTAGAGTCACAGGACCAAGCTTCAGCCCTTGAAACTTTATATCTCTGTTTAAAATTCTTATTACTGATTCTTCATCAGAATCTTAACCAATTTTCCCAGATAGCCAATGTTATAGTGAAATCATAACATCTAAAAGCATTCTTAACTGTAACAAAGCATCGTAACAGAAAACACTTCCCCATCTAAAGACCTGATCATTTTGTGCTCTGAAAACAAAGAGTAAGGGCCCTCAGGTGTGGTGTATCTCTTTTGATATCTACTGTCAAATGTTAAAACTATCTGAATTCTATCCATTTTTTTGACCCCACCAGTCAAAACATAAAATGTAGTGCTATTTTGGAGAGCTTCACCTTCATGTTTTGTACTCTTTGATCTCACAAAGTTTTATTACCCAGAAGTCAAAGATGTGCACATAACAGTCCCACATTTAGTAGTAATAAAATTAAGGAACAAAAGAGTTGGCCCTTTCTTATACTCACTTGCACCAGAAAGACAAACTAACCTGCCTGCCATGCAGTTAATACTGACAGCCAGATATAATTATGAAACACAGGAGCAAAGGTCTTGTTAGTTCACCCAAGAATGATACCTTCCCTATTATTTAGCTTTATGAAACTCTGGGCCAGGCTTAACAACCAAACCAAACTAGTTAACAGTTTTTTTAACCACGATGACCAGGGAGTCCTCCTTGGTATAAATAGATGAAACTATGAACTTAGAAAACCCAAATGAAATGAGAGGGCATGTCTCAGGTGTTGCAATACTTCTTGGCTAGTGAATGAAATTACAACTTGGAGGCACGCCATCATTTCTCTTTTGTTCAATGAAAATGTAATCTTTGCCCTAGAGTCTCCTTTTTTCAAGAGTTAACAATTGTTATACAAGATGGAGTAAACTCTTTTCATTGTCTCCATGCTCCAAAGGGGAAGTTATGAATGCCCACACCAGTCTTTATACTGGGACCCAGGCCGATGCGAGTAGAAGCAGGATTTTCCCAGCTCCACCATTTCCCAGCTTGTGGTCTTATGCTGGTATCATCTGCTGTAAGCCACAGTTCCTTCACCTACAAAATCAGTTTGGTAAAACCTACCTGTAAAGGTAGGAGTAGTAATCACATGAGATAATGTCTGAAAAGTAATATGTCCACAGTCCACATGGAGGTAAATGCTCCAAGGGGTGACTATAGTTGATATTTCAGTTATTGTCAGAGTGTTTGGCAGAAACAGTTCATCCATTAGACTTTGCATCCCATTATTTATATTTTTTCTCAGGTTCAATGTCCAAGACATCCAGATAAAGAGCCAAGAGAGGAATATCGGTTGCTACATTAAATGCAATCCCAACACTATAATTTAATTTAAGAAGTAAAGTTGATATTCATTTTAGTGTAGCTGACAAAAATTTTAAACTTCAGCATTAACTATATAATGAAATTATTTCCTAGGAATGATATTTAATTTATTTTATTTTTCTTATACGTTATTACTTTCTGAAATACTTTGCTTATTGAATATAAACTTTGAAAACTGTACTTGAGATTGTTGTAATGTCAATGACATATAGCAAAAGGAATTTTTGGATTTGTTTTAATGAAATTTGGACAGAATACTATTTAAGAAATATTTCAAATGAGAATAATCTATGTTAATAGTCTATAGAGATTAAGAACATGCTCTTTACAGCTTCCGAGATCTGCATACAAGATGAAACATTCATTATACATGACTCTAATTATATTAAATACTTGGAATTATGCATGTATGTATATGCATGTGCACACTTGTGTGATTATCTTAATTCATTGTAATTATAAGGAAATACATTATTTTTGTCCTATAAAAAACTATCGATAGTTCTTTTGGATACAGATAAATGATACATTTCTTTAAAGACACAGAAATAAAACAAGTTCGGTTCAGGACAGATCTCTATTTGCATGTCACTCACATTTGGGGTTTATTACTAAAATGATCTCATATTTTTTTACTAAGCTAATTTTTTTTTAAAGTGTGATATAATCTATTATTTAAATTATATAATTTTGCTTCAGTGTTTCCAGAACAGACATGACTGCACAGGCCATGCATAGAATTTCAGCAACAAAGGCTTGTTCTTGCCTTGTTCTAACAAGTAAGAAATGGGGATCCACAGGAATGGAAGAAACATCCGTCCTCCACAGAAGCACAGCCCTTAGCAGTTCCTCAGAGGCCCTGGTCCAGGTTCAGAGTTTCTGTAGTGGACACACCAGTCCTGTTCAGAGTAAACCTTCAAGAACCACCTTTGGTCAAATCTTTCTCCATCGTGTTACTTGTATGACCTAAGGGAAGGCTGCATTTTCATGTATAAAGTAGGAACAGGAATATCTATCGTACAATTGTGATAAGTTAGTGTTAAGGAATTTTATAGGATTATAATCTAATCATTTTCTTTACAGTGTCCTTCCGTTAACTATCATAGAATTAAAATACAAACGAATAAAACTTTCCCACCATTGAGTACCATAAACAGTTCAGTTTCATGTAGACTCAATATTCAATAACTTTAAGGACATCAAAATTGAATATTTTATCCAGTATCAAGAACAAACATAGTTTGATAAAGTTTTCAGTTTTCATAAGTGTGCTATTTACATGTGAAAGTGACTGGAGACTGTGGCTCGGGGTCTACTCAGATGTTATAAATGTGTTTTAAAAATAATTTAGGAGTTGATGACATTGCTGAAAAGCTGCCAACTCCCCATTTAGTTTCTTTAGCAGTCACATCATTAGGATCTAAACAACCATGGGAAAGGGGCAGTATGGGCTCACGCAGAGCTATGGTCTCTGGTATAATGTGAGTCATCACAAGTCTGTGTTAAAGTGGACAAATGACCTTGAAGATGCCTATTATAAATTTGTCATATTAGGTTTAAAACATTTGTCTTTATTTATTTTTAATTCTTTAATGTCACCAATATTTGAGCCCTTTTACCACATTTACCTTCCTTTTCCCCTCTGCCCCACTATCCTCTGGTAACCACTAGTCTATTGTCCATGTCCATGAATCTCTGGTTATTTGTCCTATTCGTTTGTTGCTTTTAGGTTTATATCC